TGGGAAGTGTCAGAAATGCAGGCATGTTAGCCTTTTTAAACTGTGGTTTTGTGAATGTGCATTTTCATCAGAGAACTTTATAATGGTTGGACTTCTGCAAAGTCTATGAAAGGAATACAGTTAACTGCGGGCATTTGAGAGCAGTATTCTTTTCTGCTGTCAGGTGGTTGCATCATTGGGTATTTAAAATTTTGTAAATATCATGTAAGATCTGTATATGAAGATCATTCCCTGTATATATGCTATCCATTATCTGAGTATGTATTAGAACTGCTCCTTGGAATAAACACTGTATAGTAACTGGTTCTCTGTAGCTGCACTGGTCATGTTTATGGCACGGGATAAACAACTCTTCAGTCAGGATATTGGGTGTCCTTAGGCTTGTGTTCCTGGTAGATTTGCACACAGGTGGGTTTGTGTTGTGGTTTAACCTCAGGTAGCAACTAAGCCACACAACTGCTTGCTCACTTCCCCCCTCCCTCAGAGGGGAAGAAAAATTGGAAAAAAAAGGTAAACCTCTTGGGGTGAGATAAGAACAATTTATTAGCTGAAACCAAAAATGATTATGATGATGATAATAGTAGGGAGAGGGAGAGAGAAAGTAAGTGATGCACAACTGCGTGGCCAGCTTTTGGTAGCGACAATGGCTTTTGTGAGAAGCTGGTAGAAAATTCCTCCATGTCTGACAGCCAGTGCCAGCCGGCTCCAGGACGGACCCACTGCTGGTCACAGCTGGGCCAGTGAGAAATGTTGGTAGTGCCTCTGTGGTAACATATTTAAGAGAGAAGTTACTGCACAGAAGTAATTGTGGCCAGAGAAGAGCAGAGTGAGAATATGTGAGAGGAACAACTCTGCAGACTCCAAGGTCAGTGGAGAAGGAGGGGGAGGAGGTGCTCCAGGTGCTGGAGCTGAGGTTCTGCAGCCCATGGCAAAGCAGCTGTCCCCCTGCAGCCCATGGGGGAGATGCAGCTGCAGCCCCTGGAGAAGCCCATGCCAGAGCAGGTGGGTGCCCAAAGAAGGCTGTGACCCCATGGGAGGCCCATGCTGGAGCAAGGTTCTGGCAGGGACCTGTCGACCCATGGAGAGAGGAGCCTATGCTGGATCAGGTTTCCTGGAAGGACTTGTCACCCTTTGCGAGACCCATGCTGGAGCAGACTGTGCCTGAAGGACTGCACCCTATGGAAAAGTGACCCATGCTGCAGAAGTCTGTGGAGAACTGTTGCCCGTGGGATGGACTCATGTTGAAGAAGTTCGTTAAGGACTGTCTCCTGTGGGAGGGACCCCACACTGGAGCAGGGAAAGGACTCTTCTCCCTGAACAGTGGCAGGAATGTGTGATGAATTGACTGTAACCCCCATTCCCCCTCTCCCTGCACCACTGGCAGGAAGAAGGTAGAGCCCAGGAAGGAGGAAGAGGTGGGGGAAAGGTGTATTTAAGATCTATTTTTACTTCTCGTTATCCTGCTCTGATTTTCTTAGTAATAAATTCAGTTAATATCTCCAAAGTTCAGTCTGTTTTGCCCATGACAGTGATGAGTGATCTCTCCTGGTCCTTAACTCATGGATCTTTTGCTATGTTTTCTCTACCATCCACTTGCAGAGGTGAGTGATAGAGTGGCTTCGGTGCATGCCTGGCATCCAGCCAGGGTCAGCCCATCACAACACAACTCCCCACCTGCTGACCAATACCCAGCTTGTCCCTGAACAGCGACTGACCCCCTTCCATGTAACTCCCCCAGTTTATATGCTGAGCCATGACATTCTATTGGATGGAATATTCCTTTGGTCAGTTGTCCTGGGCGTGCTCCCTCCCAGCTTTTTGTGCAGCTCTTCACTGGCAGAGCATGAGACACTGAAAAGTCCTTGACTTAGGATAAGCACCACTTAGCATCAACCAAAACATCAGGGCGTTCATAAGAACATTATTCTCATACTAAATCCAAGCTACTGAGAGGAATATGAATTCTGTCCCAGCCAAACCCAAGGCACTTCGATAAAGAAGGAATTGTCACTGTATTTGGATTTTTCATTCATTAAGATCTCAAAAAGTTGAAACTTCCATTTATATAGACTGGAAAATGAGCTTATATTGAGCTTGCTGGCGTGGATTGTTCTGCAGTGGATCATTTAAATCAGCATATTAATGCCTAATAATACAGCTGAGTGTTCTACATGTAAATATGTATATGATGAAAGCACTGAACTTTATTGTCCTTTTTTTATGACAGCTCATTTTAAGAAGAAATTTATGGTCAGATCTCTGACCATAGAGCTAGTTTGTATGCTTTTTCTGTTTCTTTATTACATTTACATCTTTATGCAAGCATAAAGAGCTTTTGCTATTTGGTATTTATGAAGCCACTGCATTGTTAACAACAGATCCTTCCGTCTCTTCCTCCAGGTGTGTGTATGCATAAGAGGTGAACTCTTTTTTATTAGTAAATCTCCTCTTGATAGCCTGTTACGTTTTAAAGTCTACTTTTGAACAATGGTCTGTCTGAAAAAACATCTCATCTTTGTGCTTTTTTTTGTAATATTACTAGAAATAATTTGTTACATATGCTTTGAGGAATTGTCAGAAATATTTAAACTTAGGAGGCAAGAACCTGAAGAACATACTTCTTTTGTGCCTTAGATTATAATAAAATCTTGTGACTCTTCGGTTACCTTTTTAGTCCCTGTTGTAATATTTTACTAATCTACACAATCTCATTCTACACTGTTAATGAGATTAGGAAGAAATAAGTATATTGGTTCTTCTGCCAGGATTACATGAGCAAAACGCTGAATTACTGTTTTCAAATCAGCAGAAACTTAACCTCTGCTCGGTGAAGGAGAGAACTGTTGATGCAGCTGCTGAACACTTACTTGGTTGGCCAATATGGTATGCCTTCCTCTGCATGTGCAACCTACAAATAAAATGGAGCCATACTGGTTCTGAGGTTTGGGATATGCCTGAAACAAGATCTCAATCTCAGTTTTGCTGCCTACTAGTCAGACTCCTTAGTGGAGTGTCCAACTTGTAGTATCAGATAGCTGTGGCATCATCTAAAGTGAGAGAAATTGTTACTGTGTGCCCTGAGCCAGGAGGTGCATAAAGAAAATTTTGAATGTACAAAGAACTGTTTCTTCTGGGTAGAAGTATGGAGGAACAGATGTGATACAGAGGATATGGTCTGTGCTTTTGGGCATGCTGGCCTCGATGTAGCTCTCTTCGTGTTCCAGGTGAAACACAAAGGCTCTCTAGGTTAAGGGTCTTTGTGCTGATCTGCTGGAAACGTGAGCATGTGGGAATGTAGTTCAAGGGCTCAAGAATCGATGCAGGTGCTATCAGGATTATTACTGGGTGATGACAGTCCCTAAGCAGGGGTAAAATGGAGCTGGTGAGCGAGGGGAAATTCTATACAGAGGAATATTGTCCGTTTTCTGAAGGGGCTAACTAGCAAAAAGACCTCTCTTAAGTATGCACCATACCAAAGAAGTGTAAGGGGCTGCCCCCATGGGGTGTTAGGGCAGATGCAATGGGGGATTTTGAAGACAGCACACCTCTAGATATTTCCTTTCGTCTCATCCCAGGTCCTTTCTTGCTGCTGTGTTTTGTTTGCCTTAACACTTGAAGTTCAGAGCTTCTTGTTAGGAATCATAGGAGCAGACAGGACTGGGACTTGTTTGCTGCACGTTGACAGTGCTCTTGCAGCTTTGAATGGGAGTAATGCTTTACTTGTTCTGAATACCCCAGTTGTCCTTGAACTTTGGACATGTTTATACAGAAAGGTGCCTTTTATGATTACCACTGCCTTTTCAAGCAGCAACACTAAGACAGGGCTCCTCCAGCAGCCATTGCAACAAACAGTGGCAGTCTTGGGTAGGGGCAACAGCTCCTGTAGCCAGTTGCGTGAGTGCTCTCATTTCTATTTGTGTTTTAATAAATCTGCAAAGATAAAGTGTGTCTAAATGGGTGAATTAAATCCCTTTTCAGATTCCTAACACATGGAATAGTACAGTCTTAAGTTGTGTCTGCTACTTGCTTTTCTTTTTCACATTCATCTCCTGGTCCTGTAGTTGTATTTTGCAGCTGTGTAAATAACTCCTATTTGAATCCTCCTGCGGTTGTATTTCCTTGTTTTTCATTGTACAAACAGCACAGGTGAAGGTAGGGGCGGGGTGGCTGCAGGAACAGAATCACTGCTCAGTGACGTAAAGGGAAATTGATTTACCAAGCAGAGTGAGTATAGTGGGTCGATTCCAGTTTCTAATCGGAAGCTATGGTGTGCACACTTGGCAAGTGAGGTCCTGGCTGGTGACCTGGACCCGCTGCCTGGTGGTTGCAATGCATGCTCTGCTTAGTTAAGGTGCCTGATGATTTTGTACATCCCTTTCCAGCCGGCTTTCAAGTTATGCCTTCTAGAGTGGCAGTATAAACTGCCCAGGGCCTTCCTAATCTTGTAGTCCCAAACTGCTCTCTGTGAATTTCTTATCTTAGACAAATTAGCAGTCAGGGCGGGGGTGTCCCACACCCTCCAGTTTCTGGCTTTAAGTGCCTTAGGGAAGTGAAAAGTTAGCAACAGTCAACTATCCCCTCTTTGTTTTTTTCTATTAATACGGATGAATGTCATCACAATTGGCCGATTTTAAGGTCTCATTTATCTGAGCCGTGCTTCTGGGTGGGCTTTACCCTCTGACAAGGAACTGAAGGCCTGCACAGAGCATTTTTAACACGCCTCCCGTGGGCCCTGCCGAGCACAGGCTTCGAGTGTGCCGTAATTCCCAGATCAAATCTAAACAGGAGGTGTGACTCGGCCGAGCGCGTTACCAAGTTCAGGGCCAGCCGCGTAATCTAATGAGATTGGGCCCGCTGTGGGCGTTCCTCGGGGAGGGCCGGGGTATCGAGTGCCCCCGCGGTTCCGCTGGGCTGTGGCATCATCGGTACCGCCCCGTGCGGGCCCCATAGGCCGCGGTCTCTCGGTGTCGGCGGGCGCGGCGCGGGGCGGGACCGGGGAGGGGAGGGCGGTCCCGGCTGCACCGCCCCGGCTGTGCTCGGCCTGGGCCCGGCGCGGGGCAGCTGGCGGGGGGGAGCGCCATGGCGCTGGTGTCGGCGCTGAAGCAGATGTCGTGGCTGTACTACCAGTACCTGCTGGTCACCGCGCTCTACATGCTGGAGCCCTGGGAACGCACCGTCTTCAGTATCCTTCTGGCGGTGTGTGTGTGTGTGTGTGTGTGTGTGTGTGTGTGTGTGTGTGTGTGTGTGTGGCGCTGGGGGCTGCCCCCCCTCCCTGCTCTGCCCGGCGGCGGCTCCGGGGCTGCCCCGAGGCGGCCGGGCGGGTGTGGCGGCCCCGGCGGGCGCGGCGCGGGTGAGCGCCTGGGCCGTGACCGTGCCGAAGGCGCTGCCCCGGCGGGGCTTGCGGGGACTGGAGGAGGGTCGGGCCGGACCGGGCCGGGAGGGGAGCGGCCCGGGGCCGGGCCGGGCCGGGGGCAGCCGGCCTGAGGCGCCGAGGGCGGCCGGAGCTCGCAGTGGGCAGATGAGCAGCAGCCTCCGCTCGGGACCGAGCCTCGTCCCCTCCTCGCAGGCAGGGGCTCAGCTCCTCTCCCTCCCAGACTAACATGCTGCTCGGTCTGGGAATAATCCTCATTCAGCTGTTTCGCATCCCGTGTCCGGGCGTCTGGCGACCTAGTCCGTTTCTCCTCCAGAACAAGTTTATATCTCTAGAGTTAAGGCACTTCCGTTTTTTCTACTGAAATCCCTAGATTTCTTTTAAGGATAGGTGTCTTTAATGATTTCTGGTGTATTTTTGCTTAGAGGAAAGTAAATGTGGACGCTGCAAAACCTTGCAAGCCTAGGTTTTCATGGTGCTTTGTCACGTGGCTCTTTTTACATAGGTATTTAATCTTCGAGCTGGTAAGTTCGCCTGTCTCTTTTGGAGTGGAAGAACTTGATAGATGCTCATGTAAAGGCATCTGTATAAAGACTATTTACAGGTTTTCTTCTTTACCCGGTCCTTTCTTATCAGCAGTATATTTTCTCAGGTATTGTTATGGCATCGCATGTATTTTTCTCTGAAGTGGGGCTGTTTTAATGTTGAGTTAAAACGATATCTCAGTGTAAATGACCCCGAACCATCTTCAGTTAACATTGAGAGGCAAAGAGAAATGAATGAAAACATTAACAAAGAGAAGGGTGTAAGTAGTAGTGAGAAAGCCCTTTACTGACATACTGCTCAGTTTTGTAAAGAAACTCACTTTTGTTATATAAAAGTGGTTGCCCAAGTTACAGTGGTATGATCAGACATTTATTTTTTTTCCTGTGTTAAGTCAGTAGAAATGGAGATTATAAAAACTTACTACTTTTCTTTTTACCATGCACAATTCTTTAGCTAGGAGTTCTTACCTTCAAAATGTGTTCCTTGCTGACTTACCTTTCTCCTTTTATGCCCTGTCTGTTTCACTGAGGAAACTTAATTTTTGTTCTCACTGCAATATTATTTGTCATGAGTATTTTTTCCTTTTTAACATACACAAAAAATTTAAGTAAGCAAAAGTGTATGCATATTTACTTTCATAAAATGCTGATATTGTAATTGCCACATAACTGACAAATGTAATGAGTGGCACAAGTATCACTTGTGATCTCAGATCAGCAAAAATGTTTTTTGTCCTTAGACTGGACTCTTTGTCTGTGGGTGGGCCATGTCTGCCGGGTGCTGTATGGCTGCAGCACAGACACGGTGGCCTTGGGAGCTGATGGTGTGTGGCTCTGCTGTGTGTCATGCTGCTGCTTGTGCTCCAGCATCAGAGGAGAGCGCTGATACGGAAATGTGGATTTATGTGTTGACCTTCATTTTAGTATCTCTTACCGTATAGTATATTCTAGGACTATAAATACACCAAGCAGCTAGTATGCTCTAATAAGCACAGCTAATACCTCTGCTCTGCCATAGGGAAGTCAGTCATAGAGCATTTGTTACACTTGTGTGTGGTGACTTGATTTCATGAAGATGAGAGCATGCACAGCTCCTCTGGTTTCACCTGCGGAAACCGAATACTGCTGTCTGGGGTTATCATGCTTGTTAATCTCCAGTGCCTTTTATAGTGTTTTGGTCTAAGTTTACTGAATCTCTGCAGGTAGTTGGATGAAATCAACAGATTTTTATTAATTTCTAGTGCTTTTGGATTTCTGAAGCCTTAAGCTTTCAATGGTATAATCATTCAGTAATCTGATGTCTTTAGACAAAGCTTCAGAGCCCTAGAGCTTGACAGAAGTCCAGTTTTACATATAAGCTGTTGTCTCACTTCTCCCGTTAGGTGTTCAGCTAATAAAGTGGTCATCTTCAGATTTTTTAGATGATAGCTTCATGTAAACTTTGTTTTGCAGTGTGATCTGCTGTAGTAAAGTACTACTGATGGAGAAACGGACCAGATATTATAGTGCCTTAGAGCCCTAGAGGACACTGGCAGCTAGAAATGGATGTGAGGTTTCCTGACTATTATGCTAACAGTACAACTTTCACACCAGATGTGTTTTGTGCATCGTAAATTGAATTTCTTTGGTCATTCTGTTCCAGGAAGTTGACATCAGCATCTCATGCTGTCCGTTTAAAAATGAGCTCATCCACAAATACGAATGGTAGTATTCAGTACAGCTATCATATTATTGTTGTTTGGTTTTGTTTTGGATTTTTGTGATGGTTGACTTTTTTCTGCTTGGCTGGATGGGGCTGGCTTCTGCAGACTTGCTCAACACCTAGGAAGATGCATGTAAAAACCTGTGTCTTCTCAGTGCGCATTTTCTGTTCTCCAACACACTTCCTGTCTCTTGCCTGTCCTCTCGTGTCACTAACAAGGCAGTGGATAACTTGCAAGGCATCCTTTGCGATTCAGCTAATTGTGTCTCCCGGTGTTCTGGTTTTAGGTGTTCAGTAGGTTCTTCCTGTAGCTGTAATTTCTGAATACAGTTGACCTTGTCTGATTGCAAAACATAACATTATGAGATAGTAACCAGTAAAGTTTAAATGCTATAGTTTGTGGTGTCTCATGCACTTCCTGTTTCAAATGCTTTTTTCCTCAACTGTCATTCAGATTCCATGCTAGTTTCTATTGTTGGAATGGCACTGTACACAGGCTATGTGTTCATGCCTCAGCACATCATGGCAATATTGCACTACTTCGAAATTGTGCAGTGATGAAGAACGTATCATCAAGAAGTAACTGGGCTTTGAAATCTGTTCTACAAAGAAGAATGAACCTCTTAGTTTTAACAAGATTTCTACCAATGTCCAAAAGACACAATTATGACTCTGAAGACTAGAAAATGAGTTATGTAGAGCAGGGACATGAGGTGTCCCCTATGTTGTGTTCATTCCTTTTAATTTTACAAGATACGCCCTTGTATAGTAGTTTTGTCTACTTTAACGTTGTGATTGTACTTTGATATCAGTATTTTCTTAACTTTGTGACAGTTTCAATATTGCACTGTGAAAGCTTTTCTTAATTGTAATTTTGAGTAAATCTTAATTGCCTTCTATTTTTAATCCGAAAGTCATCTTATTAAATGGGGCTTAAAGCTTTTGCTATTGTATGGTATGTATTTGCCTGGATATTTCTATTAATGCATTTTGTAAGAAAATACATCTAGATTCATATTAGAGACATGGATATATTCGTCTAATGCTATTTACAGAAGTTAGTTTGTATGACTGAACTCAGGTGTACTGTTTGCTGTCCAAACTTTGTTCAACAGTATATTTGTGCATATCACCTAAATTTGGAATTGGCAATTATTTAAATTTTCTGTATTCTGCCTGTTGGAGGAGGTTGGGGGAGATGAGGCACTGAAGCGGAGTGAAGACTGCATTTGTTATGTTTCAACTAACTGTAGTTCTGGGCTTTATCTAATGGGGGAAAACGGACTTTACTGGCATAGGCCCACATAAGGCTTTGGGATAGCATTTTAAATCAACCCTGTTTTTCTAGCTACCGATTCAATTGTAATTTTACAGGATACTTTGTTATGTTCCAATGGTTATGGTTTCTGCTAATTTTCACTCAACAGTGTAACTATGTCTAGGTTTTAAAGGGGTTTTCTATTGCTGCTAGTATTCCAAACATGTTTTCGCTACAAACGACCAAAACATAAGGGTTTCAATGGACTTGAGTTACAACTACAGCAATAAGTAGCTGAATACTTGGCTGAAGTCCTGTCTTTTTTTTAATAGGGATTTTTTTCAGTTTTGTATTCTGAAATGTAAGATGGTGACAACTTAACTTTCTTAAGTGGACAATTTTTTGTTGTTGTTTAAAAAAATAAAAGTTTAAAAGCAGAGTTTTGATGCAAAACTTTCTTGTGGAAGTTAATATGTCTCTGAATGCTGCTTGCTTTTCTCAGAACTTTCCAAAAGGGGAACAGTGATACTTGACCAAAGTACTGTGATTTTAGTGGCCCAGTAATAATATGTACTACTATATCTTTTATGCAACTTTTGTTGAAATCAGCAATTATAGATGTGCAGTACCTATACAAATACTGCCTTTTAGGTTTTATTTAATTTTTTAATATTTTTCTTATGAGAAAAGAGTGTTTTTCCCCTTATTTAAAAACTTCATGTGTATTTGATTAAAAACCCTGTTGTTTTGGAAGCTATAAACAGCCTTAAACTTTTTAGGTGAACCTGAGCTTTACTGAAGTTGGTAGGAGTCTCCCTCTAAATTAGTGCTTTCACTTATTAGTAACTGACTATCAAAACCTGGGTAGGTTTTAGGAGTGGTGTTTTTTGTTATTGTTTGTGGTGCTTTTTTGTGTTTTTATTTAAGTGCATCCAGAGTTGTATGTGAGTGTTTTAAGCATAGATAGAGTTAATGATAAGTAAACATACTCTTTCTGAAGTAACATAGCATAAATCTGGTCTCTCTGTGGATTAAATTAATACTGTGATGCCTCTTTGCAAACTACTGCCACGATTGATAGACCCTTTCTCAGCAGTTGATGTGTTACTTGTTTGAGGGGGGGAAAAGCCCTTCTGTGTGATGGCATTAGGAATAAGCGTGATTTTTAGTTGTTAAAGGTTTTATAAAAAAGCCTTGATATACTGACCTTTGTTAGCTGTCTGCTTTTTGTTGAGAATCAATTTCCAGTCATTTGCATTATGTTTGCTTGAGTGATATACTTGAACTCAATTTGATAATTTGAGTACAGTCTTTTTCAGCATTTCTTTTAGTCTAAATCAAGAATCTCATAGTCCTAGACTGTTCTTTCTAGATTCTGGAGACTTTGTTAAAGATGGAGTAATTTAATTAATAAAATTCGACGTGTACTAGAGTTTGAATTTCTAGAAGAAAGTTTCTGCAGTATCTCCTTTTCTTAAGGTTGATGTAGTGAAGAGATGGTTCAAGTGGTGATAATTATGAAACAGAGTAAGTTTTCTTTTTTTAAAGTAAGGGCGTTGGTAGGGATTTAATTATTCATTAAATTTGAATAATAAATGAATCATACGACTAACAAATTGTTTTCCCCAGTCTGCTTTATTGTCATGTTAGGTGGGGGATCATGTCCTCTGTGATAGAACCATAAGCTTTTTCTGTGCAAGCTGGAGGTCAAAGGCAGTTTAAATATCATTTGGAGGCAGCTGGTTAATTATGCTTTTGTTTAAACATGTTAATAACAATTGAGCTGTTATTAATTTAGATAAATTTTGAAAAAAACAATTGTGAGAAGTGAGAAAAAAAATCACCTGAGAAACCTGCAAGTTTATGTTAGTCTTTTAATAGTAATAGCTCTCGGGGTTTAGATTGAGTAATTAGAGCTAAGCATTTAAAAATGCATTAACTGTGTCATAGCAGAACTGATAATTCCAGCAATATGGGCCAGCCCCACCTGGGGCAGGCAGACTGTGTGCCAGGGCACCCCGCCCATGCAGGGTGACTTGCTGTGCTGGCAACTCTGGGGCTCCCAGAGCCGGCTCTGCAGAGGCTCGTTGGCTGCCTCCAGGGCTGGGTATTGGAGAATTACTCATTAAAAACCTTTGCAGAAGGAGCTGTCATAACCAAACAGACATAGTATTGCATGAAGTCAGGCTGGAGCCAGAAACAGGTCCAGGACCTGTGTATATATGGTTTGAATCAGTTATATGTTTTTAAATAAATACATACACACACAGAGTTTTTTTCTTTCATATATATATATATATATATATATATACATGAACTGTTTATTTCTTGTCAAAAATTATTACATAGCAATTAGTTTGGAGACAGGGGCTGTCGGGTTTCTTTTCTGATTTCTTTACCTTGTGAAGGAAAACACCAGAGAATCCTAAAGGGACACTTTCTTAAGAAAATTTTGCAAGAAATCCATATGTATATCCATCAGAATTAAAAAGGAATAGATGTGAAAGAAGCGTAGGAGCTGCAAAGGTGTATCTTGTGTGAGAGATGGGCATTATGTTACTGCAAATTGGTGCTACTGGTATGTTGTGAAGTGTTGCCCAGTTCCATTCAGGTGCAGTAATGAAATGTGTGTTATAAATGCTGAAGAAGGGGTACCTACTGTTGGCTGACAACAGATGAAGGTTATATTGAGGTGAAGAGATTGAGTACCATGGGGTGAGTGGGCTGTGCACAAAGCTGTGGAGACAGCAGCCATCCTCTAAAATACCAGAGGAGCATACTCTGGAATTGGGACCCCAGTAAAGGTTTTCAGTGCCAGACGTTCCTTTCACCTGCTTATTTGATCATGTTTTCTACAACTACTGTTGTAGGAAGACAGTCTCTTCCCCTCTTGTTGACATGTTATCCTGATACCAGTGAGTGTGGTGCTTTTGGTGATTTTTTTTTTTTTTTTTTTTTTTTTTTTTTTTTTTTTTTTTTTTTTTTTTTTTTTTTTTTTTTTTTTTTTTTTTTTTCCCCAGACAAAAGCAAACCAAGAGTTTCATGCATAGTTTCTCTGTTTGATCTTTTAGGTCCTCCTTAAACAGCAGTCATCACTGAGAACAAAAGCTGCTGTCGTTTCTGCCTTTTGTTTGTGTAGTGATGGTTTAAGAAAATCTGTCATCATAGTCCAGAGCTGGATCCACCCTCCTCTCCTTGTAATGGGGAGAGATGAAACACTAGATCTAATCTAGATTTCAGCATGGAATTTTGTCAGAAACCCTTCTGCTTTTCATAAATCGGTAAACTGTCACAAGATCTGCAATCCATCTCAGCTAACATTGCATGATGGAATACTAAGAAGTTATGAATATCCACTCTCTGAGATTTTAGCTGGATGAGAGTTGAATAGGCCTTGAGGAAACCTAATTCAATTTCTTAAGTAAATATGGATTTCCTAAGTAAAATTAGAGTTGAGCTTTTTCTTCACAATAATTTTGCAATGGCAGCCAGTGTCTATCTCAAATGCTACAAGTACTTAAAGTTAAATCACTAAATATTTAACACAATGTTCAGAAGCTGGAAGGTGGTCTTGGCTGAAAGTCAGACAGTGCTGCTGCACTCCTTGTGGTGTGTCTGAGCTATCCACCACATATGCTTAACAGAATACACCTTATTCATGAGTGGACTTCCCGTTGTTTAAAAAAAAAAACAAAACCAAAAAAAACCAACAACGACTGCAAAACCAAACTACCTCTAAGACACTGTGTAGCACTTTATTTTGTTGGTAGTACTGCTTATTTTATTAGTGAAAAAATAATACTATATATGTATAATTTATAAGCTGCATCTGTTTATGGATCAAATAGTTAGACTTTATAATATGAATTTAGAGGCCCACTTTATCTTGGAAAGAGCCCTATCAAGTACTGGAGACTCTTAATTTACGCTTAGAACAGTTCCCTATGTTTTACTGTTGCAAAGGTTTATGGCGCAGAAGCATGTAACTCTTTGACATTTTGGAGCCTAATAAAGGGATTCCACTTTCCCATGTGGAGAAGACCCTCTGTTAATAATAATAAATAAAATTCTTAATTCTGAAGGAATATTTTTATTCTTATCTAAAATTGTTTCGTTATGTGAAATGAAAGGGAAGGTTCATACAGTGAAATATTGATACCAAAGAAGAGAGGCTGAAAATGAAAATTGTGTCTTTGGACAATGAATAGGTGAACTGAGGGATGAAAATTCTTCTACAAAACCTCTGTTTTTTTGAGAAACTTAAACCTATATGAAATATTTTTTTCCTGATGTTTTGAAAAATGTAGGAGTCATTTCCCTAAATAGAAAGTGTAGCCTTGTTTTGAAATCTGAAGTTGTTATCTGTGCTAAACCCCCAAACTACTAGACAGGCAGTAAATATTTCATGTAAATACAGCAGTTACCAAGCTAGGAGCTACCTAACATTACAGAGGAGTTGGTTTAAGGGGTGATAGGACCTCATGGTTAGACTGTGTGGTTGGAATGTGTGGACCTATGGATTCACCCTGGTTAGAGATCCTTCGTGTCATAAAGGCACTTGTTAGCACCAGTAGGATGTGACTGATCTATTTATTTAGAGGTTTGGAGTGATGATGTTTGGCATTAAAGACCAAATAATCATTTTAAAGGCTTTACTGTTAGATCTTGTGTTACAGAAACAGAAGTTTTGATTAAATAAAATTATGGGAAAACCTCGACACCTGTCATAAGCTAGACAGATAATTGTGGAGCAGTAATCACTAAATTGGATGTAGGACATGCCAGTTGCAGACAGATAATCATGGAGCAGTAATCACTAAATTGGATATAGGATGTGCCATTTCCTGGTGCAAACCAAACATTAAAAATCTCGGGATAGGCTCTGTATCTATGCAGGGAGCAGCTATCCTCTGTGTTGTTGATCATGGTGGTTATTTTCTGTCACAGCCTGTTACTGGCTGACGTGTGCTTTTACAGGTTAACTCTTGTCAGTCTGCTGTTGCTCTTTCTTAACCTTGAAGGGTGTGTTCTGTATACAATATCAATCTTGTCACTGCACTAAGTTTCATTAGCCTGGATTTATTTTGAGGATGTTTTAATGGTGAAAAGGTGACTGATTTTTTGTGGGTGTCTCTTTTAGGCTTTACTGCTTGAGGTTTGGAAATGAAGCATGTGATTAATAAACTGCTTACTATTATGATCCAAAAAAACCCAAAAAACCCACAAAAAACCTCCCAAAAACATACTATTTCTTTTACCTGTTAAAGATGTTATCCACATAATGAGATATTTGAGGAAGAAGTCCGAGATTCAATTTATAGTCATAGTTGGTTGCGTTCTTATAAAAACTGATAGTTCTGGGGTATGACTTGCAAAGCCTGAATGTTCCTGTACAAGCTCCGTGACCTATCTCATAGTTGGAACTAATAAGTAATTAAGACTTTGCTAATATT